ATCAGCTTGTACAGAGGTCCATGTATTGCTTTAATCTTGAGGATGACTGAAATGACATTTACCTCCCAACATACCATGTACAAAGCGAATTTAGTCCCATAGAACACAACCCAGGATGGTTATTCTGTGCTCTGCCATTCTTCATAACGCTCCCTGTCCTTTCAGCTGAGCAGTTTCTGTCAAGCCTAATGCCACTGTGAAGTTAAATTACACATACGTAGGTGTGTTTGGTCCCCATAACAAATCAGCAATGGGATACACACACAATTTGCCATTTGAGCCACAGACATCATAAATCAGCTGGTTCATATGAAACCAGAGCAGGGTGCTTTATAACAGGGGACTCTGGCAACCACACTGTTCATCTCAGCTTTCCAGCTGTAAGACTTCAGTACAGACCATAATAAATCCCAGTCAGGTTTTACAGTCTTGTTGATTCATTGCTTCAGTCGTGCTGCCAATTTCCACTGCCAAAACTCTTCCTGAGTTTCAAAAAAAACCATCCTGAATCAGTATCATCTGTGCATTTTATGGGTGTTTTTTTTTTGTTATTGTTTAATTTTATCTCTTCCAGATAAACCTCTCATGGTCCAGTTTATTGACTGGGTGCTGCGTGGGATATCCCAGGTGATGTTTGTCAACAATCCCCTCAGTGGGCTTGTTGTGGTTGCTGGTTTCCTCGTGCAGAACCCATGGTGGACGCTCACAGGCTGTTTAGGAATAGTTGTCTCAACTTTAACAGCACTTATTCTACGTCAGGACAGGTAAGTCCATCCTTTTCCCCTTCAAAACCAGACTGTTGCTTCAATGCTGACTTATGTGTTAAACAAGTGACATGGATGAAAAGCATGTATCTAGCCTTCACTGGCTACGTATCTGGTCTGGTAGGACCAGACAGATCTTCCCACCCCCTGCATCTGGTGGAAAGGGACACTGGAGGTAACTGCAGAAGGGGTAGTTGCTAAGAGGACCTGGGACTTAAGCATGCAAAACTGAAGGCTGATGCATGAGCCTTGGCAGGTCATCATCACACAGTCATGACTGCATGGGGAGGCAGGGTGTGAAGTGAGCAAAGCACCCACAGGGGAGAAGATTTCAAGTTGGTTGTTTTCTTCACACAGATCAGCCATAGCAGCAGGCCTGTACGGCTATAACGGGGTCTTGGTGGGATTGCTCATGGCCGTCTTCTCTGCTAAGGGAGACTACCACTGGTGGCTTCTGCTGCCGGTAGCACTGGTGTCCATGACCTGGTAAGTCGGATGGCTCCTCTGCTTCTTATTCCAGCCCCAGTGTCCCCACACTGAGACTGAGCTGTCATATTTTTATGCACTATACACACTACAAAGGGAAAGAAACACAACCGGCACATATGTGCTACTAAATCTGTTTCGTTATTTGCACTTTTAAACTCAAATGTAATCCCAAAACAAATAAAATACCCACATAATCACAAATAAACCCAATGGGGAAAAGGAAAATTGATGGCTGATCATATGTAATTCAATGCCCTAAACGTTCGCCATATCGCTGCCATGTGTCAATTCATTTCTGTCTCAAGAGGAACGTTATTTTAACCATTCCCTACCACCATCAACCACAAGTGTTTCATCTATTTAAGCCACCATATAAAAGTGTCAGGAAAATTTACCTCTCCAGGCACAGAAGCTGTTCAGTGGTCCCAAGACGTGATGGTTGATGCTAATGAAAACAAACAATTAATAATACTTTACTCATATATATGACACCATAATCTGCTAGGTATTTGGGCAGCCAGAGTTTTGAAAGCTGGTCTTTTGCCCCCAAAAGTGTAATTGGAGATTGCTAAACCACGCCTATCATCTGCCTGCCTGAAGTTCCTGTAGTGTTATGCCCTCTTTAATAAGCACAACTTTGATGTCAGTCTTTACTTCTGATCCAGAAGCTTCAACAAGTCCACACAGCCACCTTCACAGTTCACTTAGACCTGGCACGGCTGTCCTAATTTCAGTACTAATTTCAAGTACTAATTAAAAAAAAATAAACACTGAGTCTGAGCTGTGGAATAACTCCATTAAATCACTGCATCCTCCATACGAATGGAGGATCTTGGCTCCTTCACGGTCACCAAATTCACCCCATATATTGCATAACATGACAGCAATCTGGACGCTGCTAACCACCCTGGGAAGGGTAGGAAATTTACCAAGTGACCCTAGCGTATCTCTGATTTTATCAGAAAGACCGAGGAAATTAAACAGCTTTTTTAAAAAAATAGAGTGAATTTCCTGTAGTTGTTTTTTTGTTGGTGGTGTTGGATTTTTTCCCTTAGCTGACAAGCTCCTAGTGAGACCATTTTGTTCTTCTTTCAGCCCTGTTTTAACCAGCGCTTTAGGCTCAGTCTTCTGTAAGTGGGATCTGCCGGTTTTCACCTTGCCTTTCAACTTGGTCTTGACCCTCTATCTGGCTGCATCAGGACCTCATAACCTCTTCTTCCCTACAACTGCCATTCAACCTGCAACAGCAACACCAAACATCACGTGGACAGACGCTGAAATGCCAATGGTAGGATGCCCTCAAAGAGAACAGCCTTCTCCATTTACAAAGAAAACCACTATAGAATCATATTATCTTCCTTTATGTTACTGCATTATGTCCTGGAAATACAAAATTGCATTTATGAGATAGCTATTATCCAAAACGTAAAGGTTTACCCTGGGAAGTACCATTTTTGGTAGCTTGAAAATAAGAATTCTTTTTGGTACCTGGTATCTTTCATTTACAGTTGGATCTAAATTATAATCTTCAAAGGCCCTCTACAATCGAATTACCCACAACTGTGCGTACACTGATCAGTGCCCTGTAGACAAGGTTGTGTTGAGACTACCAGTTAACTCCCAGGTTAATTTTAGTTTCCATGTACAGAGTGCTGTGTTTTTAAAATTGCACCTATCTGATTAGAAATGAGCAAGCAGATAGTACTATGGAAGAACAGTTACAAACTTGGGTGCAGGCACATGCTCACGTATTTTTTGTTAATATTCAAGTGGGAACCTTCTGAAGAAACATTTTATTCTCCTGCACAGTGCTGTAAACAACATAGATACTCCAGTAATAGCTTTCCCCTAAGGCTCAGTGGGCTGTTTTGAGGGGCTCCCAGGGAGTGATTAAGAAAAAGTTAATTGACACTAAATAGCAACCCACACAAGTAACATTTCTCAAAAGACACTTACCATAGCGCATAACTTTACGGGGACCATTAACGTGCTGTTCCACATGGAGGAACACAACATTGTGAGGAAAAGTGTCTTGAAACCATCTCTAAGCTGTGACCAAGTTGGGATCTGTCCCACCAACACTCATTGGTATTCCTAGTGAACCCCAAGGTAGGTTCACATATGTAAGTAGATCAGGGATATAGCCTTACCTGAGTAAAACCTCACAATTCTGGCCAAGCCATTATTGGCCATTTCATCCTTGGAGCTGTCCAGTGAGAGGCAAATGTCTTCTCAAACGCATCATCTACCTGAGTGCTTCCATTTCCTAGATTCACTGTCATGCTCCATAACAGTGTGCAAAACTGGCCAAGTCAGCAGCACATGTAAAGATGATGAGTAAACCCTTCCAAGTCCTTTCACAAAAGACATTTAACTTCGATATTAGCATAAAAACCTGCCAGAGGAGCTCATGGCTAGGGAACAAGGCACGACTGATTTTCATCGAAGGGGAAACCCTGTGGAAATGCCCTGCCGTCTCCTGAGAAGCATCCAAACTTTCCACTTACAGTCCAGAAAGAGAGACTGCATTCAATAAATGCCAAACACGAACCTGGCCAAGAAAAACAGTTTAAAAAAAAATTACAAAGACTATAACAAATTGTCCTTTTTTTTTTTTTTTTTTTTTTTTTTTTTAAATTCCTGCAGCTCCTACAATCCATTCCAGTCGGGGTGGGTCAGGTTTATGGCTGTGATAACCCCTGGACTGGGGGAATTTTCCTGATTGCTTTATTTATCTCTTCTCCGCTCATTTGTCTACATGCAGCAATTGGATCAGCAGTGGGGATGCTGGCAGGTAAGGATTTGACTTGTGTCACAGATTTATATAAAGGCATGGGGAATAAAAGAGGAACTGCAGTGAGTGGAGCATTTACAGTCACAAATGCTTCTTCCATTGGAGAATGACTGCTTGAAAAAAATATGTATATGTTGTTATGTTACAAGAATTCTTTTGATTGACTTGCCCATTCTTCTACCTTGTGTTATGATGGTGGAAATCTTCAGAAGAAAGAAGTGTATTTTTGGCTCAACTGAATTTTTATCATGAAATACTTCATTTCTGGATATATTCTGATGGGTTTAGAAGCAGCTTAATAAAAGCCACAGTCATCAGTCTGAATGTGCAGGCCTCAGGGACGCATTTAGAGTTCACATGTACGCTCATTCACTCATATATCATCTGCTGATATCGCATGGCCAAATTCAGCTCAGCAGCACCAGGGAAATTCTGCCATGATTGTATTACATTAAAGTGGCTTTAGTCTTAGACCATAGCAACATGCTATAAATAGGAATTCAGTGTACATATGCAAACTAGAGCCCTAAAAAGCTGAATTCATGCCATTTCTAGCTGCTTTTATCTCTTTGGCCAAGGAATGACACATCTTTGACTTATTTTCCAGCGCTGAGCTTAGCAACACCTTTTAGCAAAATCTACTCCGGCTTGTGGGGCTACAACAGCTCCCTCTCCTGCGTCGCGATCGGAGGAGTGTTCTACGCTTTCACCTGGCAGACACATTTGCTGGCAATTGCCTGCGGTATGTACCCTATGGATTTTTCACTACTGCCACGTTTCCTTTTGAAGTGAGACAAGATGCATTTATACTCGCAGTGGGCTGAAGCCAGGTGGTCACCTCTGGATGGGCAGATGGACTCAGGCGAGACGGACAAATGACGGAGCCGGATGTCGGAGCCATTGCTCTAACATCCCCCAACAAAATAAAAGCAGTGCTTTCACTTTCAGCCAAGAGTTGTGTCCAATGGAAGAGATGGGATCAGTGGACGCTGATTACCTAAGGTCTTTGAAATTAGATGCTTAGTTTTGAGGCATTAATTGTGTTTGCTCAGCATTGCTGGATGAATCATATTGTCTTTTCCAATCATAGATACCAGCTCAAATTCCTTCTTTAGAGAAGGACATATCTAAACTTTGAAAAAACTGCAGCGCAAGATCAGTCCACATCTGTAGTTGGGCAGTACGCTTTCCCCAGTCTATTGAAACGGATACCAAAGGCATGAGCTAGGCAGCACAGAATGATTGAATTATTTATAAGGCAATTCTGTATGAAATTTCAATATCACAGTGAGCTGGGAGTGAAACTATTGCTCATTCGGTGCTCATATAAAAAAGATTTAGCTTTGTATCTCATTGACCCACCTTCCAGCCCTAGAGGCAGGAGAGATGGGGGTGGAAGGGTTATTTTCCTATTTAACCCCATCCATCAAGCTACATACTTTCCACGTCAGTGCATTTTTTCAAAACCCTCTGATTCCATAGTCACATTTTTCATCGCTCCAGTTCTTTTGTTGTTTTGCCCTTCCCATGAGCTCCAGGTTGGAGGGGACACAGTGCAAAGGAAAGAGCTTTGAGAGGGGACTGTCCAGGCATGGTCATAAACACTGGTTGAGGTGCCCAAGGCAGTGTGAGAGATGTTTGTCCTTGCTGGTCTCTTCCACGAGCAACTGAACTGACCAGGAACTACCCTTCTTTTTCACAGCGCTCTTCAGTGCTTACCTGGGAGCAACAGTGACTAACATGTTGTCTGTGGTAAGTGGTGAATTAGCTAGGGTTGTTTTTCCAAAGACAGATTTGAACATTCTATGTTTTCCTGACTTGTGAGGCAAAACACAAAAATTCAGAGAACAATTCAGTCAAAGGCAGAACTGGTCTGGGAAAGCGGACACAGCCTGCCCAGAGGGTTGGTGTGGTTCCCACTGAAACAGGCCACTTATAATCCTCACCAATTTTCATCTCTGGAGCTTGCATGAATTTCCACAGCTCAGCCCTCAACGTCACTGAGATAATTATATGTATACACTTTGTGCGTGGAGTGATTGAGAAAAGAGCCTCCCACACCTGTAAAGAAACCTCAAATTTGGTTTAATTGCTTTGCCCAAGTGCCAAAAAGCAGTCAGTGCAACAACACAGGGAAAAGCTGAACGCTTCTGGTATCCACTCCTGTCTCATCTCCATCCACTACCACTACTGATGCACAAGGAGAAGGAAGCCTTCTCACCAGAGCAGGTAGATGTTGCAGGTTAATGCGCAATGTCAAGATCTCATAAAGAAGTCCTGCCTCCCCAAGGAGAGCCTGCATGCAAAACCAAGTCAAGACTTCTTGAGAAATCCTGTTCCAAGCTGCCTGGCTCTGAGTTTTGTTCAGGGGCTGGGGGATCAAATGAAAGAAAGACATTTAGTAAATAAGTGGTTTCTTTTTTTTTCTTTTTTTTTTCAGTTTGGGCTGCCATCAGGAACCTGGTCTTTTTGTTTGTCTGCGCTGACCTTCCTGTTAATAACCACAAACAACTCTGCCATCTACAAGCTGCCACTCTCCAAAGTCACCTATCCAGAAGCTAACCGAGCTTATTATCTGAAGATGAAGAAACATCAGAGGTCTTGCTGTGAGGTATAAAGACCAAAGAAGAGAGATACTTTGCAGATTTTAAGGCAAGAGTGCAAAGTGTTTCCCCCAAAAACGTGGTTTGTAAGCTACAAAGTCAAAAGACCAAAAAAACACCACCTTCTGAGTGGAGAGACTTTTTCCACCACATTTGTTTTTTCTATTCTGGCTAGATAGGACTGTGATGCGTTGGAAGGACCTTTCCCAAGACCAAACTGTAATGATTTAAAAGCACACATGCCTGAAACGACGCTTGAATTTTGAGCAGTGGGGAAATGACTTAGCAGTTGAAAAGAAAAATGTTTATGAAATCCAAGTCACAGCAATCAGACATAAAGCAATAAAGACCAGAGCATCTCTCAGTATCTGATAGGACTCCTAATTAATGGTTAAAACCAGTTTACAACAGCAATAGGGTACATCTTAGAAAGCTTCATAGTAACAGAGAAGTGAAATAAAGAGTACCCTTTGCTAAGTAGAAAATAGGTGGTGAAGAATTCTACCTGGAGGATCTCTCAAGCCTGGTGGAGATGGGCATTAGGAATCATCACACACAAGATGGACACAAATTGCCGGCAGCGTTGATAACAATTGCAAGACTTGTGGTAAAAATCACAATAATGGCAGGGAGGGATTGTCGATCAACCCCAGCTTTTAAATGTTTTAGTTTGCACTGGGCTCTAACATGTCATGAATAAAATGTTTCAGGCTTACCCAGTTGCAGAGAAAAGCCTGTAAGCTCAAGGCCAAGAAAGCAAACACCAGTGAAAAGAATCTTTTTCTACCAAAAAAGTCCCCAAAAAACCAACAAGTTTCATGATTTTACGTTAATCTCATGATTTTTCTTAATACTTGAACTTGGTCATGGGTTAGAAAAGGAGGGGACAGCAGCAAAGTCATCGCTGTCCCTTTCCTATGCAGTAAAATGGCTCTGCTCAGTCTGTGCACAAGTAGAACTAATTTGAGCTGATCTCCTTGACCTCTCTCCCTACACCATCCCCCTCAGCCCACAAATATCAAGCAGCAAACGGCTGCACTGTCCCAGCCTGCTGCTGAAGCTGCTGCTCCGCCATTTCTCTCCGCCCAGCGATGGAAATGGGATGGTTGGAGGACTGGCGGACGTAGCAGAGCTCTGCAGCAGACCAGCCTTGTGCCACCTCTGCACAGGCTGCTGTGGTCTGCAGATAGGGAAGGAGAAAGCTGACCTTGCACCCAACAGGCTGGTCCCCTCGGTGGGTGTTAACTCAGCCACCTTTCTGCCCGGGTCATGGAGATACTTCATCCCATAATGAAGCTGACATCTTCACCACAATTACTCCGTATGCTCAGGTCCTTCAGTTGGCATTAGCCTGGGTGCAGTAATGTCAGAATCATAGAATGGTTTGGGCTGGAAGAGACCTTTAGAGGTCATCTAGTCCTACCCCCTGCAATGAGCAGGGACATCTTCAATTGGATGAGGTTGTTGCTCGTGGGAAAGTAGATAAAAACCTGTTCCTCTTGTGGCAGAGGAAATAAAATGTAGCGTGTGAATAGTGCTACCGCTGATTTTTGAAGTTGCGAAAAAAAATATGCCTTTTTACAATCACCAAAAAGATCTGAGTGAAAAATATTTGGGATGAACTGCTGGCAGTATTTTCTGGTGAAGCGTTAGGTTTTCAGATGTTTGACAGTATTTCTGTATAACTGACACTCCAGAGATCACTTGTAAAAATGTATCATTTCCTGTGTTTTACCTGGTAAATATCTACATTATATTGTGCGGAGTTAATTTTTAAAACAAATATTCATACTTTTTTGAGTTTGGTCTAAGTTTTCCTCTATCATCACTAGGCTCTTTCAAAGATAGATTCTCTCTTAAATAAATAGTCTAGAAGACACTGAAAAACAAAATTATGAAATCAGTGTATGGGGGTTATTTAGGAAACTTCGAGCTTCTGCTTTTTGTACTTACGGCATTTTGCTGCATCAACACCTTCTTAAAAGTGCAAGCGCAAAGTCTGCTTCTGTACAGGAGACACGATCAGCTGAAGGCAGAGCTACAACTGGGGCTGGAAACCTCCTCGAGACCAGATGAGGACTCATTCCTAAGGGAGATGCTGTATGGGCCCCCAGGCTGGGGTTAGATGAGGTTATGTTCTGTCCAGAGGATGCACCTCTCCCCTAGTCAAACTGTGATGGAAAAGGATATCTTTTGGTGTCCAGACTGACACCTCTCCACCCAGCACCCCAGAGAGGCAAACCTACAAAGGGTAGCTTTCACTTTTATGTCAAAATCTGCACTCGGTAAAGAGTACATGCTTTATGACCAGTGTAAATCAGCAGATTTCCTCTGACTGGTGCTATTTCAGCTTGCTGTTGCTGAGCAACGGGGATGTTTTGGCAGTAGCGTAAAGAAACCATATGCACAGAACCGAAAAACAAGAAAAGATGAAGGCCATGTCTCAGCCATTAGGAAGGTTTTGCACGTCATTCAGAATCAATTCTTCATTTTACGCTATTCAGAGAACTCATTCTTCCCATCACCCCATGCAAAATAACAGTTATTTGGTAATTTGACATGTATATCAGTCAGAATATGCATATCATGCTTTTTCCCATTATCGTTCATAACACAGTCTCTGCTAACAGATCTAATTTATCTTATTATTGAAACTGTTCTTTTTTTTCTCTACATCAAATAAATGCTATTCAAGTCAATTTTTTACAAGTGCTCTTTTTACATTCGTGTTTCACAGGTGATATCAGATTCACAAGAAACATTTATGCTGGCCAGGAGTTTTGAGGGTCTTTCTTGGACTGCTTCCTTCCCAGTGCCAACATAACACAGCAAAAGAGATGTCACTGCTTTTAACATTTCTAAAAAATTAATAATAATTAAAAAAAAAAAAAAACACAAACCACTGAACACAAAAACACTTGAAAACATCTGCTTGGAACCAGATTTTATCCAAAAATCTAACTCAAATGAACCCCCTCGCTGCCATTTCCTAAGCTACTTTCATTGCTCCTGTCTGATGTGCACAATTTCCTCTGAGACTCCCAGTTCCACATCAAGCAACTGCCCCAGTCTCCACCATTTGACACTGGCGTGTCTCCTGCCCCCAAGTCCTTTCTGCTGTGGTTCAGCTGCCCAGCAGCGCTGGCTTCAGCCACACACCTCCTAGCATGGGGTTTGCTATTGGAGATAAGGGGAGGCAAAGCGAGAATGACAACTTAAGACAAGAAATCACAGGATGCTGAGCAAGGACCAGCAGGTCTTTGTCAGGAGAGCCTGCACCTCTCCCTCCCCAAAGTAGTGTTGCTTCCTCATGGAGCCCAGGACATGCTAACACCACCAGCAGTGGTACCAGGACATGGGCTACAGCCCTCATTTCCCCTTCTTCCAACAAAATAATGTCTGGGCAAGTGGAGAAGAGGCCAATATTTAGCTGTGCAATGAAGATGCCACACCCTTGATGATGCTGAACTGGGAGGAGGAAAGGTTCAGCCCAGGTTACCCGAGGACCAGACCCAAGAGCTGGTTACAGAAGCAGGACCAAAAGCAGGGGGTATGACTGCAGCACACCAGCATTTCAGATGCTCAGATCTGGAGGATCTTATCAATACTTAACAACAGTTAAAGGGAGGATGCCAGGAGGATGGAAACAGGTTTTTTCCAGTGGTGCCCAGAGGACAAGAGGGAACAGGCACAAACTTGAACATAGGAAGTTCCATCTAAACACGATGAGGAACTTCTCTCCTGTGAGGGTGGCAGAGCAGTGGCACAGGCTGTCCAGAGAGGCTGTGGAGTCTCTCACTCTGGAGCCATTCCAAACCCGCCTGGACGCCGTCCTGTGCAACTGCTGTAGGTGCCCCTGCTCTGGCAGGGGGTGGGACTGGGGGAGCTCCAGAGGTCCCTTCCAACCCCTACCATTCTGTGATGCTGTGACACGCAACAATACAATCTCCTTTATCTGATCCTCCAGGACTGTTGCAGGTTTTGTTTGATTTTACCACATTGTACTTGAAATATAAACAGTATAAAGAATGCTCATGTCGATAATTAACTAATCTTTTGAATCTTGACATTTAGTGCAAAGGGTAGAATTGACCCAGAATTTGGCCATAGCTAGGAATGATTCACCCGCTAAGAAAGATGCTAGCCATGAGGAAACAGGGCTGCACATTCAAAAGAAATACTTGATTATTTACCCCTCCCTCAGAGTTGCATTGCAAAGACCACTATGGCAAGTGAACTGTTGGACGCAATCGAATACCTTTCTGATGCTTTCTCTTTCTCCTGCCATGGAAACCTGCCTTCAGGTGGTAAAGCCCTTTTTGTTCCCGGCAGTTCAGTTTACTCAGGATTTTGAATGAGATGGGGAAGCAGTATAACTCTCAAAGCAAATACACCCCAATGACTTAAGACCCTCTGCTTATTCTCAAAGGCACAGGTAGACCAAGGTAATTAGGTTCCCATGCATAGAAAGGGAAAGCTTTTAAACAGGAGTTGGAAGCCTTAATATTTCATAGAACTGGGCCAGAAGACTTGGGTTTAGGTCCACAAAGGCTACATCCGTGCTGGTAAAAGAAAAGGATCAGGTGCTGGCACACAGACGCCCACCCTGCTGGACTCAGCATACGTGCCCTGGCACAGTCCCAGCCTTTGTCAACCAGAATCCCCCAGACAGTGCCTAGACACGGCTCAGCAGGCAGCATGGACTTCTCTTGTCTCCTCAGCACTTCCTACACCAGCTAATATTAAAAGATGTTTCTCTTGCAATGAGGCTCTGAAGGTTAAATTACCTACCTTGAGGTTGAGCCTTCCTGACTTGCCATTCCATTTTAATCCAAAGTAAACCAACTTTGCTGCATAGCGTTCCTGCACTTTTCATCAGCAAGAGCCCTTTCATGCCTAACTCTTTGCAAGTGCGGCCTCTTGGTCCTGCACGGGCTGAGGTTTAGCTCCTGCACTGTGGAGCTGCCAGCCACCCTGCCTCAATCATCGGACCAAAGATGTTTAATATATTTACAAGTGATCTGGATGATGGGATCAAGTGTGCCCTGACAAAGTTTCCTGATGACACCA